TGCCACACAGCCAGAGCACAACAGACTCTTGGTAGTTATTTTCTAATCCTCTCCTTACCACAATGCCTAGATTACCAAAGGTGAGGTTTAATTAATGCAGATATGTCATAAAACATAGTTATTTGCTACTTTCAGTTCCTTTTCAATTAAAAAAACCCAAACAAACCAACCAACAAAAAACACACCAAACCAAAACCACAAAAAAACCCAAAACCAACAAACCCAAAGCTCCTTGGATCAAAAACATCTGCTGAGTAGAAACAGGGACTTGAAATCAAACAGCCCCTCTTCTTGCATACAGAGCAACAATGTGCTGCAAGAAATCAAATCAAATCAAATCAAAATGGTATTTAGTACCCATTCAGACAACCTCTTGGAAGGCTGTACAAAGAGAACAGCTGTGGACTGACTTTATTCCAAATTTTTAAGCTTGATTATGAGCAGATCTTAAAATAGCTACTGAACGTTAAGATGTAAATAAAATGTGCAGTCTCTAACAAAAGCTGCAACCCTGACATTAGTGCTTATTCCGTAATCACAGCTTTTTATCCCAGACTATTTTTTCCCATGGTTTCTATTCATCTGAAATCATTCTGTACAGGAACAAGGCTCTTGCTAGAGCATTCTGTAACAAGTTATTGCTATGATATTATTCATCATATTTCAGACTGAATGAAGACACAGCTGATGCATGCAACTCAGGACCACATACATTCTATGGAGGACCTACATCAACATACATCTAAGTAAGGCAGATCAGACAATGGTTATTTGTATAAAAAAAAAAAACCCAACATTTTAAAAGCACTAAGGTTATGGCAGTAACACCCCAGACAAGAACTGGACAATGCTCTAGAGGACCCAATTTAAACAAGACAACAGTCTTTACCTCAGGCACATTACAGTCTTTTCATCTCTGTCAATATTCAACTTCCCTTCCAAATGCATGCAGGAATCTTCTTGAAAATTCAGGACTTAAAATGTGTTTTTGTTAATGCACAAAGAAGAAAGATTAAATCTTCCCTTATAAAAGGGGTATAAATATATCTGGTTTTATATACAGTGACAAGCAAGTGGAGCAAACTCATGCATAGAAACTGGCTAAAATACATGACCTAAAATTCCAGAAAATTAATTACACTGAATGGGAAATTTTTTCATATATATACTTGGGTATAAGGCAAAGGAAACAGAGTTCTGGTCAGAGGTAATGCAAAAATTTGCTAGATGGTTCACTCAGTCCTGACACTACTACTAAGGAGTTTACTGAGAACAGCAGGTGCAGAAAATGTGTAAGACCTTGGGCAAAGACACAAGAGACAGACTTCTACATTTAGCACTGGATTAGATTAAAAGCTTCTTCTGCCAGAAGCCTGTTGTAATTATCTTCTAGTATTACCTGTCACCTCAGAGGTGTCAAAGGGCATTTAAGATGGAAAATCCTCATTTGATTTCTCAGGTATCATCTGCAAATGTACATTTATTTCTTTTGTTTACTCTGGTTTCACAGGACCTTTTTATTTTTGCCAACCATAAACATTAAAGATCTATTTTTGCTTGATTTAATTAAGACTTTCTGAAATGTGTTAACCACTCACTGACTTCTGGCAAGCAGGGAGAGTCAGTTTGCACTCAAGAACCCTCCTTTCCTACAGCCTGATAGGTAAAAATCTTCCTGTTAGTACAATTGAAAGAGTAGAACTGTTTAAATCTTTCCCACAGATGCTTCTGCAGGACATGCTCCCTGATCACCTCCTTGGGGCTAGCTGTAAAGCCAAGTTTCTTAGACCAGGAGCAAAGGTGCGAGTCCCGTATGCCACAGAGTGAGAAAGGAGGATGTGCCTGCCCCAAGAACTGATTTGAGGCATCTCTTCAGCTGGACAAAACACCACAGATGAGATTGTTTTACCTCGTTCATTCTCTTGCTTCCCTGTCTGGCTTGCAGCCACCTCTGCCAAGGTGATGCTGTAATCAAGCACCACGCCCTTGGCTGCAGCCCCACTTCCAGCAGTGGGAGAATCTCCCACTGACACAGCTGCCCATCACCTGCTGTGGCAGGTTTGCTCCCTCCCCGGCTGTGCTGGTGCAACTCCATTTGCAAGCTCTCGAAACTAGACCTGTGAAGCATTTGCTCCACAGAATGCCATTCTTAAACAAAGAAAAAAAAGCAAACAAAAAAACCATAACAAAACCAAAACCGGTTGTGATTTAAAGAAAAATCTGTAGTGTTTAAGACCTAGCTTCAAGTGCACCACAGCATTACTACCCTGCACAGTAGAGAGCAGAAAGACAACATGAGCAGGTGAGAACAGGTACCCTGATGCACCACAAGAGCTGGGGCTGCTGCTATGACCCTGTGGGCTGCAGGAGGCCTCACCACACTCACAGCTGCTTCTGGCAGCAAAGAGAGGGAGAGTGGAAGTCTCAGAAGATTAAGCCTGATGGGGCAGGAGAGGGAGTGCCTTAGCAGCGTATTTTCAGGTGACTACAGTCAGTGTTAACTTGCTTCTCATTGTAAAGAAGCTTCTACAATAAGACAAATTCCTCAAATTTATCATTCATTTGAATACAAACCAATTCTCTTTTCACAAGTGCCAATATACACCCACATACACACACACTTTTAGAACAGGAACTTTATGAAACAACCAAGTGAACTGAAACATTTGAAAACTACTTCAATCTACCAGCTCCAGGAACACTTCTTGGTTTTACTCCATTGTATCGACCACCACACATTTATCTATAAAGCATTCTTCTTTATTTAAGTTAAACAATTTTTTTCAAGGATGGTTTCCATCTATAAAATGAACAAAGTACAAGCTCTGTACAGCAGACTTTTCAAACCAACTGAAAAAACAGTTTCCAAACTATGTTTTGAAAATCTGCAAAACAAACAGTATCACCGTTCTCGCTCTGAAGACAGTAAGAAAAGTTCTCAGGAGACTCCATTGCAATTTGCTTCAAGGGCTCTTAATTTATCTTTCAAACGGGTGAATTTCTTCAGCATTAAAAACCCCCTAAAATCACAGTAAGTAACTTTGGCACACTGTCATGTAAACATAACAAAAGGATACTAGTTCTTGTCTGTTCTCTCAAAGAAAAACATACAGGTCCTATATTAAAACCCCTATGCACAGCATCCATGGGGAATTAGTGAAAATATTCCTACTTTACATGATAGTAGTTGACAGTAAAGACTTAAGAGGTGGAATATGGATTTTTTTTTTAACCAGCTATTCTGTTTCAGAGATGAGAGGCAGGTCAATAATCAGAGTTGCAACTGCCGATTTCAGTTAGTGCTACCCTCACTATGATCAAAGTTGCAAATGGAAATACCTCCATGATAGAAGCTGAGTGGTTGGTTTTTTCTTTTAAATTCTGGTTTTCAAAACCTCAAACGACTGACTTGCTGTTGAGCCCATATTCCAGCAATTGCTTTTCCAGAATATGAAGAAATCTACTGCTATGTTTATGAAACACATTCAAGTTCTCAGCTAGGTTAAAAGGCTACAGTCAGGGCGAGACTAAAAGCTGAAAAATAATTTATCATCTACTGTATGGCCTCTAAAAAAGGCAAGTTTTGGAGAAAGTGGATTGTGAAGAAGCAAGAAAAAAGTATTAATTATTAATTAAAAAAGTCAGATGATGGATGGGAGAAACTGGGTTCAATGATCCCATCCACAAGGTATGCAGGTACTTCATAACTGCAGACACACAGGATATTTATGGGCCTATTGACTGGCACAGTTAAGGCCATTTTGCCCAGAAGAGTACCACCTCTACTCCCAATGTATAGATGCAGCCAAAGGAAACTGAAAAAAAATGAAAACAAAACCCCAAACCAAACAAAAAATAACCAAAAACTACTCTACTCCCATGAACAAAGAAAGTAGGGTACTGTACCAGCATACTACAGTATAGCAGATGTTTTTCATCTCCTTATGATCAACCCTCACATTTTTCCAAAAATTCATCATCTTGCCAAAAACCACCTCCTGGCACTGCATGTCTACACTAGTTTGTCAATCCTGTCCTTGCTTATTAGTACTTATTTGCCTTTCCTTTTTATTTTAAAAGCTCATTGAAGCATTTGCTTTTAATAAAAAAAAAAAAGTGTACATAGTCTATGCAAACGAAAGAAAGGACAGGTCAAAGTTTGGGTTAACTTTGACAGTATTATTTTAATATAAAAATGACATCAGCTGGACTGAAGCTGCAAAACGCACATGGTCTATGGTTAAAAACACGTAGGATCTGCCGGTATCCAGGCTGATTCCCAGAGCCAAGCCTGAACCCATTCAAATGCTCCATTCAAGGAAACAAAATGGAATAAAATTCCCCAGTAGTAGGTCTATAAATTAAGCAAGTGCAATTCAGAGATATTACATAGCTGCTCATCCTTGCAAATGAAAACTCAGATGTTACGCTGTCAACAGTGATGTTACTATTTTATCTTATTTCTACAACTAAAAGGGGAGTTTTAAGACAAATTCCTTCTCATTAGGGCCCAGAATAGAACTGTGCTGAACCCACATGGGTGCATGAAAGAGCTGCACTGTTTATATAATTTTGTAACAAAATAAGAAGTATTTTAAAGACAAAGTACTACAGAAATGAGCAACACAAATATCAAGTACAAGTTAAACGTTATCCAGAGCACATGTAATGGATTGTTTATTCCAACTTGGGAACTCGAGCCATCACCTATGCAGATGTATTGGCTTATTCTTGCTATTTTGTTTCTCCTCCCGAATTTCACAGCCTCCAGTGAGGGCGAAGTGTTAAGAAGTAGATCCAGTTTGCAAAGCAAAAGCATCCAGTGTTAGCACGGACATCACACTCAGCCGCAGGAAATCCGCACCTTCGGAAAGTGTCACTCTCCTAGCATGACAATCCAATCTCTGCTTATACATTTGTCAATCACTTCCTTGTTAATTATAGGATGAGGAAAAACTGATAAAAATCACTGGGAGCTGACAGTATATATACTTTTATATAGTCATATTTAGAGTCCATCATAGAAAAGTTCTTATTCAAATTACCAAGTACACACAGGAGAAAAAAACCTTCAAAATGACACTTCTGATTCTGGAAATGACAAACCGTGATTTCTATGCAAATGGAGTTTTCAAATGACGTTCTCCTAGTAATTTTTCCCACCCTCCCTCCCTCCCACACCCTGTTCCCCACAGGTGTTTCTTCAGATCCTTTTTTTATCATACATCAGTTGTTCCTAGAGTTAATTATCTGCTGTGCAAGTACATAACCGAAGACAGAAAGGAACCGTTGAAGTCTTCACATCAAGAAGGAATTGTGCTGCAGTCATGTTCAGTGACATCTTTGCAGTGCTCCAAGTCCCCTGGGTCCCTGGTGTCTGCTTCAGCGCTCTCCTACTTTCAGATAAAAGGTGGAATACTGAGGTATATAAGTTCCGTGGAAAGTTTTAAGAAATACATCAGTAATTCAATCAAAACTTTGCCCAACGTCTATGAATGGGAACAGCATTTTGCTTGTGAGTCCTTCTACTGCTGCAGGTTAAGTGTGAATTTCCACTGTTGTGACAAAGAGGGACTGCAGATCTCAACGGTAAGACCACCATTTTTGGCATTTCGGCTGTCCAGACAGAGGTTGCTGCCAACGTGCCTCAGTTTAGAATTGCTTTCAATCTGTTCCCATTTCTGGAAGAGAAAATACAGTTATTGAGCTGGAAAAGCAAGAAAAGGATGAGTTCCTCACAAGCTTCCTTGGCTCATGCTTGGGAAAGCTGTGAAAACTGCAGTAATAGTATGCAGTTTAGATGAGTCTTGAATAAGAGTATATAAGTTCTGGCAAGCCTTGCCGAAACACCTGTTTGTTCAAGCTAACACACTGCAACAGATATAGAATACATCAAATCTTTTGACTGTACTTCAGCACTTCTCAAATGTGCTGTCATACCACATAACCTGTGTGAAACCTTCAGTCTGAAGAAAAAAAAAAATAAAAATCACAGAACCTATCCATGTAACACTACATTTCTGAACATAGAGAAGCAGCATAGCCACTAAAGATGACTTTACAGAAATCCAGAAATCTATCAGACACCTTCCAGTTACACAGAAGACAACCAGTGAAGTTGTCTTGTCAAACCTTGCACAAGGTAATGCCAAGGACAGAGTAATTCTCAAATACAGAATGTTACGTTTTTTTCTTTCTGCTGTATTTCTAACATATTGTGCCTTTAGACCTTATCAATAAAATCTTGCTTCCTTAGTTTCATTTTCTGAAAAGTGGCAGGAATATTCTCCCTCCATCAATGATACTATTTCAGGTATCTGTCTGCAAAAATTGAGATACAGAAGCAGGGAACCTGGCAGATGATCAGAACTGATGACTAGGCAGAAAGAGATGAATTGTTATACAACTAGATAAAAAAGATGGTATGACTGCAAAGATTTTTTTTCTCAGACATAGGAAACAGATGACGTTAAAATGCTGCATTAATAAAAATGAAATGGAGTGTAGTGGTGCTATAAACAGGTCACAGCTGGAAAGAAGAAAGGAAAGACAAGCCACACTCTTCTGAGACACAGACTATGTAATCTTTAAACTTCACTGAATAAGGCCTTTTAAAAATACATTGTGGAAAATATATTCTTCTGTTTCAGAGAACAGACGAGGCAGCTGAAGATTGTTACTCATCAGTCCTGTTGGTTGAAGCCTTTACATAAGGCCGCTGTTGGGATAAAACCCCTATATGTTCATAAAAAACTGTCACTGTCCTATGAAAAGAAAAGCTCAGAACATAAGCTTACACCTGCTGCTCTGCCCAGATGTCACACATCCTACCTTCACACACACAAACAGTGGGACAGAGTGAAGAGCAGAAGGGACAGAGGATATGATTACCAGTGCAAGTGCTTTCATTCTCATTCACAGTCCTTGTTTTCCCCACTATTTGCAGGGTGCCCTCATGATATACTAACCTGTCTGCTGTCGTATTGCCCTACAACCCTGAAGTTTTATTAGTGAACCAGGTGCTCTGTCCACAACAGTAAGGCACAAATCCATATGTTTCACCGACTTGTCCTTTGTTAAGGCCCATTCCTAGAAAAAGGAAGAAAAATAAGTGCACTAAACTGTTTATAATAACACACGCACAAAGTCCACATGCTATCTCTGCATATATAGCACAGGTTAAAATGCTGCAAATACTACATATGAGTATTGGAACAGTGTCTGAGTATTACAACAGTTCATTGCTTCCCATAGAGCAGGAGAGGGAAAAAAACCCCCGTCCTTTTCTAACACAGGAATCCCAATCGGTTAAGCAT